TCTGGGCACCACGGGTAGAGAATCTTTACATGCTATGTCCTGGCCACAATTCAGCCAGACACACAGGCACGAAAGGCACACAGCATCCATCCTACTGTTTTGATCATTAGCAAAGGAAATTCCAGAAAGACAGAATTACTTGCCAGATATAACCTGGCTTTTCATTTTTTCCCTGTTTGTCCATCTGATTAGCTATTCTTGGATATTCACACTATATAAAGCCTACACTTCAAAAAGTGTCCAGTTCTCTTGTAAGTTATCAGCAGTTCTGCTGGGGCATCAGGAGTTCCCCCTTCTTTCTCACCTCTTCATGTTTCACTGGCTCTCTGGAATCTCACTGATTAGGTCTTTCTTCCCCACTTTTCTATGGCTTGAGTTCTACATTTTCTCTCCTACCCAGAATAGACACTGTTCCCAGAAACTTGAAATATTTGCATCCTTTGTTTGAACTCCTGTGGGAGCATTCCTGCTTCCAGAAGTGGGGTTCCAGAAGTGGGTGGAACAAGGTTGGTGTTGCATCACCCACAGCATCTCAGGGTAGGAGCTGGAACTTACTAACCTCACATTCTTAAAACCCACGGTGGGGGGGGGGGGTGGAATGTGATGCAGATGAGAAAGTATCTCTTAAAATAAATAACTGCTAAAAATGACAAGTCAATGGATAAGCCAGCCTTGGTACGGAGGTGGCAGAATAACACAGGGTTGGCTGCCAAACTTGAGCTCGTGGGGAGAAAACAAGATATAAGGAAATACAGGGCGTGTTTTAAAACAAAATGTTGAATAAGATATGAGTGTGAGAAACGCGGTGGGTGGGAGCGGGGAGAAGACTTACTGGGACACATGCCGTGAGGCAAGCTTCGGTCAAAGAGAAGGTGTTTCAACATTTAAAGCCCAGAGCCCAGGGTACAGCTCAGCAGGCAAAGCACCTGCCTGGCAAGTGCAAGGTCCTGAGTTTGATTACCAGTTAAAAAAAAAAAAAAAAAACTAAAGCCAAACCAGGGCTCCCCAGGCATTATTTTTTCTTGGACCACATTTTTGTTTCCTTTTTCACCTGGTACTAGAATCCAGGGAGCACTGAGCTATCTCTCAAGCTCAATTTTATTTTTATTTGACGTTATTTTACTTTGTGGTGCTGGAGATGAAATGTAGGGCCTTTTGCGTGCTAGGCAAGTGCGCTATCAACTGAGCTACATTTTATTTTCAGACAAGGTGTCACTAGATTGTCTAGGTCGGTCTCAAGTTTATAGTCCTCCTACCTCAGCCTCCCAGAGAGCTCAGATAACAGGTGCACACCACCACACCTGGCTGGATCACCCCCCCCCAAAAAAAAGCCATATATATACACAGGCAAAATGATAAGCAATTATTAGGCAGCCAGAACTGTAGCACCGGATTTCCAAAGAAACTGTAAGCTTGTGCACACTGCAGTATTGGCCACTCGTCCCTGACCTCTTGTGCCCGCACTGACCGAGTGAATGGATTGGCTGATAACAGCACACTGAGCGCTTTCTGAGTTCCAAGGGCTGGATGAAGTAATGGAGCAAGATGCTGCAGATGGACTGACTAGAAGGTGGGGACCACAGGCTGGAGGCCAGGGGGAAAAGGGGGAGAGCGAGCTCCGGCAGAGGACCAAGCTCTGGAGAGACGCACAAGTGGAGGAGAAGAGAGTTTAGAGCGCTCGCAGTGCACCGCTGCCCCTGGGTGCAGGGTGGCCCCTCAGGACAGTATGGTGGCTGTTCCTGGGAACCTAGGAAGTGGCATTTTAGTTTTCTAGAGCTGTCTAAAGGTGCTAACGATTCTGTTTTCCTTGCCAGCTGATGTTTTTTCCACATAAATCAAAGTACATTTCCAATGTCACCCCACATCCTGGGGCCTTGGTGACAACCTCCTTGTGGGTTTTGTTTCAGCTGGGTGTGGGGTCTTTGTTCGGTTCACTGTCACTTGACAGTGGGGTGGACACTGTGTCTCTCACTGTGTTGCCCAGGCTGGCATAGCACTCCTGGCCTTAAGGGATCTTTCTGCTTCAGCCTCCCCGATAGCTGACTCCACAGGAACACAGGACCACATCCGGCTTTCTGTGTCACTTTTTTTTTTTTTTTTTTTTTTGTCTTTTTCGTTTTTATCGGTACCAGGGATCGAACTCACGACTGCCTGCTTGCAAGGCAGGCGTTTATGCCGCTGAGCTAAATCCCCAGCCCCTGTGTGTCACTTTTTAACTTGAAACTAACTTCAATAATAAAAATCTTCTGTTGTTCTAAGTGGATAAGAAAAGAAATAACACAGTGGCTGATCATTAAAAAAAGAATCAATTCACAGCAGTTAGAAGATCAGAACTCTAACTGAAGTTTATTTCTTTTTAATCTTTTAGTTAAGCTTGTTTGCTTGAGACAGGGTCTCACCATGTCGCCCAGGCTGGCCTGGAATCAGGATCTTCTTGTGTCAGCCTCGTGAATGCTGGGATTGCAATTTGCACCACCACGCCTTGCTCTGGAGTTTACTTCTCTTACACACCTACCACTGACTCCATGAATTGTCAACTTAGAAATACACTTGTCTCACTTGTACCTCATGAATTCCTTCCTCAAATATCAAACATATTCTACTTCAGAATTTTCTTTTTTCTTTTTTTTTTTGGTACAGGGAACTGCACGAACAACCCCAGGCTTGCCAGGCAGGCACTGTGCCGCTAGCTATATCTCTGGCCTTAGGACCTTGTTTAAGCTTAACTTTCAGCAAGATTCCTTAGCATCAGCTTAGCCCCAGATGACATAATCCAGTCAGAGATCTTTATTAACATGGGTTTAGTTGGGGAAATTGGTTAAGTCTTTGGAGCTCGTCAATGCTAAACTATGACTTTAACTTTACTTTTTGAGGATTATGAGCTAATTACTTTTCAAATATTCTTGGGTTAACGAAGTGCACCAGTGGGGTGTGCCTTCAACCACTCTGGCATTCCTCAGAAGTAAGACAGAATCCAGCAGTTTACATCATAGCAACAGTTGATAAGAAAAACAGCAAAAAAGGTAATCATTTCCATATGGAAAGAGAGGAGAAAACCAGTGAAGCTATGAACTGTCATTTTTCCATAGGGAAAAAAAACCCTACTAGTAGATTTGGCAGAAAGGGCAAATGTTCTAGTTCTTTCCATCTTACATTCGTTAATACACTGCATGTGATGTGCTTTATCAAAAGACATCACTCCCCTCAGCCCCAGCTGCCAACTCCCAAGTGCCTTTTGTCCTCCTGGGTGACACCCATCTTGGTGCATATTAATTTCATCAAACACTCTATTGCCTTGGTGATAATTTTCTCAATTTAGTGAAAAATGTGAGCACTCTTACCTCATTACATAAAGCACATAACCACCTCCCATGCCAGCTAAACACTACGAGTAATTCTGTTATTTTGGGGGGAACAGGGTCTTGCTATGTAGCCCAGGCTGGCTCATATGTAACTCTTCTGCCTTAGCCTCCCAAGTGCTAGGATTACAGGTGTGTACCACCACACCTGATGTATAAGTAATTTTAATGCAATAGTTGTGACATTCTAAGATCTAAATCAAAATCTGATGAAATTTTCTCATGCCCAGAAAACATCTTTTTAGAACTGGGGATTGAGTTCAGGGCCTTTACACTGAGCTACATTCATCTCCAGCCCTTTTTAAATTTTTTTATTTTGGGATGGGATCCAGGTTGGGTTCCCACTTGAGATCCTCCTGCCTCACCCGCCCAGAATACTGGGACTGCAGGAGTGTACCACCACACCCACCTCTGCAAGTTATTAAAAAGCAAAACAAAATACATTTAACTCATCTACTTTTGGATTTAAGCATGATAAACATTTATTATCAAAACCTCCCATATTTATTTATTTAAATATTTATTCGGTGTGGGGATCAAACCTCAGGGCCTCAAACATGCTAGACAAGTACTTTACCACTAAGCTATACCCCTTCCCTGATTGTTATTCTGTTGATTGGATGACTGAGTTTTGAGGTGGCCTGTAGCTCCTGAGTTCAAGTGCTCCTCCCCACTCCGAAGACAACTAGAACTATAGGTGCATACTACAGCGCCTGGCCTGAGATTCACCTCTAAACAACTACAGTGAGACAAAAACGGTACCAGTATAGAAAATTCAAACTAGATATTCACACTGCAGCATGACAATATCTCCCTCTTGTGGGCTGAAGCACTCATTTCAAACATGAATAAATTTAAGTGCAGAATCCAACTTTTCAAACTAAAATTGTGCTAGAAAGTTTAGTTCATGTTTAGTGAATCACTTTTGGAGTAGAGGGGGAATCTTTAGAAATGTGAGGACAAACAGAACATTCCCTTTTCCTGGATACTTCCACAATTCCAACACCTGAGCAATTTCTCTGAACCTAGCGGTGGTGGCATGCACCCATAATTCTAGCTATTCAGGAGGCTGATGCAGGAAAAGCATTTGAGCCCAGGACATAGTTCAAGACCACCATGAACAATATGGTAAGACCTTATCTCTACAAAACAAAGGTCTCTCTCCATCCACCCCCCCCCCCAGCACTGGGGATTGAACTTACGACTGCATGCTTATAAGGCAGGCACTTATGCCTCTGAGCATTAAATCCTCAGCCCAGCCCTGTTTTTTGTTTTGTTTTGTTTTGTTTTTTGTCTTTTTCTTTTTTATCGATGCCAGGGATCGAACTCACGACTGCCTGCTTGCAAGGCAGGCGCTTATGCCACTGAGCTAAATCCCCACCCACCCCCCTTTTTTTTTTTAACTTTTTACTTAATTAATTTTTTTTTTTTCTTAGACAGGGGTCTTGCTCTGTCGTTCAGGCTAGGCTTGAACTTACTATGCAGCCCAATGGGCCTCCAACTCACGGTGACCCGCCTGCCTCAGTCTCCCTTGTACTTGGATTACAGGCCTGTGCCTCCATACCCAGCAGCACTGTACTTAGTTACTATAACAAAACCAACTTTAGAGAAAGTACTATTATAAATATTCTAGTCAGAAAATGCCTTAAGGTACGTTTCCCTTTTATTCAAAATCAGAGATTACAGTAACTGGCAATGACTTGTTCTAACAATGTGAAACTGTCCAAAAAGTCCTCTTCTTCAATTCCAAATTTTGTGTACTGATGAATATAGGCTCTGGGGGAAAAGAACCAGAAAATGTAAAATGAACAATTTCAGGCATATTAGTAGCTTACAATCAAGCAACAAGAGCGAGGGGAGGGGAAGGGGAAGGAAAAAGGACTGAGACTGAGTTGTCCATGTGCCCCTGCCCACGATGAATGTACTCATTATGTACTGCAAATCCATGCCGATAAAGAGGGAGATCAAGCAGTGAACAGATCTTTTCTAGCTCGTGAACAGTCGACATCACAGATCTCTTAGAAGTCTTACATTGGCTGGGTACGCTGGCACACGTCTGTAATCCTAGCACTCAAGAGGCTGAGGCAGGATTGCTGTGAGTCTGAGGGCAGCCTGGGCAACATGGTGAGTTCAAAGCCAGCCTGAACTGTAGACCCTGTCTCAAAAACCAAAACCAAAACCAAACCATACCAAACCAAAGACATCTGCTGACATTTCTTAGTACCAAGCAGATTCAAAACTACAGTGTATATTACTCAGGAAGATCAGAATCTTTTCTACTGCTTTGAGGGTCCTTCTTTTTGAGATGGGGGTCTCACTATGCCAAATGCTAGGGTTACAAATGTGCTTCCAACCCAGGCTCAGATCTTTTTTTTGTTTTGTTTTTTGAGACAGGGTCTCACTATGCATTCAAGCTGGCCTTGTGCTTACTTTGGAGCCCAATCTGCTCTCTTGCAACACTCCTCCTGCCTCAGATTGGAGTTATATGCAAGCCACCATACCCAGCTCAGATCTTATTTATTTCTTTTGTCTTTTTCCTTTTTATCCATACTGGGGATCGAACTCATGACTGCCTGCTTGCAAGGCAGGCACTTATGCCACTGAGCTAAATCCCCAGCCCTCAGATCTTATTTTTAAAAAACTATCTGATTGTCTATTTTTTTCTTTCAATTTTTCTTTGTCTTTTTGAGTCAGGGTCTTAGTATGCAGTTCAGGCTGGCCATGAACGTACTATGGAGCCCAGGCTGGTCTCGAATTTGCAGTGATCTTCCTGCCTCAGCCTCCTGAGTGCTAGAATTACAGGTGTGCATCCCCACACCCAGCCCTGATTGTCTCTGTCTTATAATAAAATTTCTGCTTTAATTTTATATGGTAAAAGAACTACTCATTTAGTCAACAATATCAATGTAACAATAACAGCCCATGTCTGAATCCAGCCCCATGGATCCAGCCTGTGGACTCGGCGTCACTTACTTAGAAGCAAACATATTCCACGCTTTGCCCACAATTGTATCGAGTGGCCTCACAAAGAACTGGCTGTTGCTGACCAGCGCCGCGGACCTCTCATATCTGTTGAAGGCTCTCGAGGTTTTCCACACGGACAAGGCATCTGCGGGCCTCAGCCACGAGGTGTACAGGGCGGGGTCCTTAAATCCCTCTGGAGCAGGGAGAGGACAGCAGTATCACTTACAGAAAATGGTGACAGCTGGGAAAACCAAATGAATTGATGGGTATTTGCTTGTGCGTTTCACCCAAAATCTCTTCTGCCTTTTATTTTTGTGGTGTTGTGGATTGACAGCAGGCCTCACACAGCCCAGGCAAGTGCTCTACCTCCGAATCACACTCCGGCTCCAATGCCATCGTCATCACCGGCTCCCTCTTACCCTCCCCTTCCTGCTCCTCTGCCTCTCCTCCCCCCATGGAACGGGGCATCAAACCCAGGCCTTCACGATGAACTACATACTTAGAGACAGGGTCTTGACAACTCTCTAAGTTGCCCAGGTTGGGTCTGAATTTTCAGTATTTTGGTCTCAGCCTCCAAGAGTGCTAGGATCACAGGTGAGCGCCTCATGCCCAGTTCTGTTTGCCTTCTATATTAGGAATTCTTTTTCTATTTTATCGGTACCTGGGATTGAACTCAGGACAGTGCCACTTGCAAGGCAGGTGCGTATGCCACTGAGCTAAATTCCCAGCTTCCCTTCTATATTGTGTTTAAATGACCCATATTTGTTTTTCAAAAATAAGTGGCAATAACTCATACTACTCAGAAAATAATACAAAGTATTATGTCACCAGAACAGCTGAAATGCCATCACCCAGAGACAGAAATTGTGAACATTTATTTTGTGTAATGTGTGTGATTTTACACATGTCATTTTCTATATTCTGTGTTTTTCTTTCACCAGTGTGTTGTGAACTTTTATACATCAATAAAGAGAATTCATCTTTAAAGACTCCTTATGTGAATAGGATATCATTTATTTAAGTTGGGTATTTAGGTTATTTCCACATTTTGTTACTGTGAAAGATGTGAAGAACATCTTTGCAAGAACACTGTGCATTTGTGTCATTTGCACTGGGTAAATTTTTGTAAGCATATTACTTTATACATATATATATATATTTTTTTTTTTTTTAAAGCCAAGTGTGATGGCATGTGCCTGTAGTCCTAGCCCTTGGGAAGCTGAGGTAGGAGGATTGCCATGAGTTCAAGGCCAGCCTAAACTACATAGCAAGATACTCTCTAAAAAATAAAATATTGATGGCTGTGGGTACAGCTCAGCGACCAAGCACTTGGCCTGAATACACACACACATACACAAAGGCCAATATAAAACCTAAAGTGAAAGCCAGGCATAGTGGTGCATACCCATTACTGTAATCCCAGCACTCAGGGAAGCTGAGGAGGAAGGATCACAAGTTCAAGCCCAGCCCAGGCAACTCAGTCATTTAGTGAGAACTGGCTGTAAAATTAAATACTTTCAAAAGAGTTGGGGATGCAGCCCAGTGTGAGGACCTAGATTCAAGGCCTCATACTTGGGGGAAAAAAATTTAAAGTGAAGAACTATGAAAACAGTCTAGTATCAGCTCAGCTTGAAATGATCTATTTCATTAGTTCTTTTTCTAAGGGGTATTACAAGGTATAGATTGGTTTTTATACCGCAAAGTAGCAAATTTGATACTGCTGATGTCATCAAGGATAAACTATAAATGTAGAGAGTAGCCATAGAAAAACAGCTGATAACAATACTGCTCTGAGGGGCTGGAGGTTTAGCTCAGCAGCATAAGTGCCTGCCTTGCAAGCAGGCAGTCGTGAGTTCGATCCCTGGTACTGATAAAAAGGAAAAAGACAAAAAAAAAAAAGAATACTCTCTGCCAGGCATGGTGGTGCTTACCTGTAATCTCAGTGCTCAGGAGGCTGAGGCAGGAGGGTTGCTGTGAGCCTGAAGCCAGTCTGGGATATATAAGTGAGTTCAAGGCCAGCCTGAACTACATAGTGAGACCTTGTCTCACACATACACAAAAAAGGAATACAAGGTACACTGCTCTTCCACCTTCCTACACTTGGCACAGTGACCACTGCTTGTCCAGCGATCCGTTCTCCATCTTCCTTTAATAACAGGGCTCCCCAATTGCTCTGCAGGGGTTGGGATCAAACCCAGGGCCTGCAACATGTGAGGCAAACTACCACTGAGCTGCACCCTCAGCCCCGTGACCTGCCTTTTAATTACACTCACAGCCACCTGCAGTGAGCTGTGGTACAGGACTCAGTCCCCGCCCAGAGGACAGAGCTGTCCTCGGGATATGCAACTCTGTGAGTGAGAGTGCGTCTGCTCATTCCTGTGGGATTTCTCATTTGTTGTTGCTGGGAATGGAACTTAGGGCCTTGAAAGTACTGGAGCTACACCTCCTGAACACTATTCTACTCCATTCTGGGTTTTTTTTTTTTTTGTCTTTTTCCTTTTTATCGGTACCAGGGATCGAACTCACGACTGCCTGCTTGCAAGGCAGGCGCTTATGCCGCTGAGCTAAACCTCTAGCCCCTCTACTCCATTCTGTTTTGAGATGAGTTTCACTAGAGTGCCAGGCTGATCTTAAGTGCCAGGGTTTTCTGCCTGAGCCTCCTGAATGCCCTACTCCAGGTGCGCCCAGTGTGCTGGCTCAGTCCGGTGTGGTTTCAGCTGAATTCTCACAGGTATCCTGGGCTCTGGGAAGGCAGTCTCAGTAAAGCAACCAGAGCTAAACTTTATCTTGTTTAAACGCCTTCTATTTTGGTGTCCAGTCATATAGAAACTGATACAACAGTTACACTTTGCCACTAAAACATGTTAATTATTACCTTCTTTTCTCCAAGAATAAATACAGGGACTTATTTTGGAGACAGGATCTCACTAAGTTGCTAAGTTGAGCCTCAGCCTCCCAAGTGCTGGCTTTAAAGGTGTGTACCACCAAACGCAGCGATGGGACTCCAATGTGCACCCATGTACAATGTACATCTTAGTTTTCACTTGGACTTCTGCTTACCCAGATTTGCATTCTGTACATCTTTCCCACGAAGGATGACCAAGTTAGCAAGGGAGGTGTTAAAATGCTGCTCCCTGTTGAGAGACAGTTTGTTGAGAGGTGGAAGTCTTGGTAAGGAAGGCCGCACTTGCCAATCAATACCTTGGCAAAAGAGAAAAAAGGCAAAATAGAAATTATTCCTGGGCCTCACATTTAATCAAGAATCTGCCAGTACATACAGGGCAGATTTGTTGGGAACTAACAGCTCCCGTGTGCCTTCTGTTTTTCCCTTTGGAAGGGCCATTGGCCAGCTAGCCTAGGCCTACTGCATTAGTTTGTTGAATACAACAGGGGCAAAGGACTGTACTTGAGAAACCTCCCCTGAGGAGGACAAACAGACATTCAGGAACATTCTGGAACAGTATATATGAGGCTGAGGCACTAATGGCATATAACTTTTTTTTTTCTTGTGTGTGAGAACAGAAGTCATTAAAAGATAAGGGACAGAGAATAAAACCAGCCTCAAGACAAACCCCAAAGATTTGCACCTATGTATCCTCAGGCCATTGGAGATTCCCGTCTCACACTGGACAGGGTTGATCTTAATGGCCAAAAAAGACGTGGCGTAAAGGAGTGTGTGTGACCTGAAGCTTGGTCAAAAAAATAATTTCTGTCTTAACTCATTCTTGGAAAATTCACTCCTCCCTGGTGCTAGGACAAGTCAACTGGGAACAGATACATTGCTGATGAGGGCTTACATGGGTCCAGTCTTTATATAGAGTAGCCTGACAGTTATAAAACTAGATCCTGCACCAGGCATGGTAGCACACTGCACTCAGGAGGCTGAGGCAGGAAGATCGCTGCGAGGTGAAGGCCAGCCTGGGCTATACAGAGAGTTCAAGGGCAGCCTGAACTATACAACAAGACTCTATATCAACTAAGCCTGCAGGGTGTGGGGGCACACGCCTGTAATCCCAGCACTTGGGAGGCTGAGGAAGGTACATCATTGCAAGTGCAAGACCAGCCTGGGATACAAAGTGAGCCCAAAGCCAGCCTCAATTGCACAGTGAGACCCTGTCTCAAAAAGACCAAAAAAAAAGTCCAAGCCAACCAAACAAAAACCCTAGATCTGGCCACTTGGCCTATGCCATACATATATTTATGCATAAACATCTATCCAAAAAATGAAAATATTCAGCATCTGGAGTTGTAGTTCAGGAGCAAAGCACTTGGCTAGCATGAATGAGGTCCTGGGTTTTAAAAATGTATTTGCTTGTTTGTCTGCAGTACTAGGATTGAACACAGGGCCTTTGCACACTACTGCATCCCAAGCCTATCTTTATTTTTTGAAACAGGATCTACTAAGTTGTGCAGGCTGGGCTCAAACAGGCAAATCCTTCTGCCTTCGCCTACCCAGGTGCTGGGATGACAGCATGGGCCAACACTCCAGGCTAAAAGAAGGGAATTTGTATGTTCAAATTCTATCTATAACAAATTATGAAAAAATGTTGGCATTCAAAAGTTCTGGACTGAAGATGACTAAGCAAACTGTGGTTAATGACTTAACAAACCTCCTAACAGAATGTCTCGTACTCCCCAAAGTGCACTGTGTTCCTAGAGATTTTAACAGGTACTGCTAGAAAAACAAGGATTGTGGCCAAAAGCACTCCCAACATGAACTTCCATCATCTCTCCAAACTCCTGGTACCACAGTCCAAAATCCGTCAGCTGTCACAAGTAAATGTATAAAAAATCTTCTTTCACGGTATTAAACCTATGCATTTCACAATGCAGTACACTATATGCTACTAAGATAACACACAGTGATTTCTAGTTCAACACAGCAGACTAAGCAGATACTATACTGCCATTTTCTCCTCCCACTAATAAAGGGATTTCTACTTCCTTTTTTTTCCCTCAGTCTTTTTTTGTTTGTTTATTTTTGGTTTTTGGTCTTTTTGAGACAGGGTTTCACTATGCAGTTGAGGCAGCCTTGAACATGCAGTGATCCTCCTGCCTCAGTCTCCCGAGTGCAAGTGTGTGCTACCATGCTGGGCTTGGGAGTTCTCTTTCTTTCTTTCTTTTTTTTTAAAGACAAGGTCTCACTCTAGTTTAGGCTGCCCTCAAACTCACTGCAATCCTCTTGCCTCAACCTCCCAAGTGCTGGAATCCTACTTGGGATTTCTTTTTCTTTTTCTTTTTGGAACTAGGATGAAACTCACAATCTCACGCTTGCCAGACAGGTCTTATGCTACTGAGCTAAATCCCCGCCCCCACTTGGGATTTCTTTAAAAGCACAAAGGATTAAAAAGAGAGAGAGAAGAGGACTGGGGATTTAGCTCAGCGGCATAAGCACCTGCCTTGCAAGCAGGCGGTCATGAGTTTGATCCCTGGTACCAATAAAAATGAAAAAGACAAAAAAAAAAAGAGAAAGGTAACATCAACAAAATTTTGGCAACAAGAAAGCAAATGAACTGCTGGCTACTGACTGAGCAAACGGGAAATTTGCCTGCCTGCCTGCCTGCCTTCCTTCTGTGGTTCCTATTAGACCCAGGGCCTTGCCCATGTTAGGCAAGGGCTCTACTACTGAGTTTTATCTGCATCTCACAAGTTCAAACTTCCACCACCTACGAGGGAAGTCCTGGCCAGGCATTTCTCAATGCAGAGGAAACACGAGTGTTAAAACTGCACACCTGTAACCCCAGCCACTCAGAAGGCTGAGGCAGGAGGGTTACAAATTTGGGGACAACCTGGCCAATTTAGCAAAGCCTCATTTAAAAAGAAAATTAAAACAAAGATCTTAGTGATGTAGACTAGTGGTAGAGCTGCTGCCCACCAATGCCTGGTATCTGGGTTCAACTCTCAGCACCAAAAAAAGGGTGCAGTCTATTCAGAAAGCAGGGACCCCCTGGCACCTCCCCACTCCTTGCAGCACGGGGGTTTGGCTCTGAAAAAGCTCAGTGAGCCGAGGCACACATCCATGTTGTTTGCTTCCTAAACTGGTCTCATTCTCTCTGGAAGCCTTTAGGTTTTTCCTTGTCCTGTATGCTTGCAAACTCTTTGGCCCTTTTGTCCATCTCAACCGAATTCAGGGATTCTGGGAGGGCAGAGGGCGTGCTTCCTTTCTGCAGCATCCCTGGCGCCTAGAGCAGCACACAGCGAGCTCGTCACCGTCCCTGCCCAGTGAGCTGCCTGGGGCACAGAAGGGGCCCCATGGATGCCACCCAAGTGGCACGAGTGTGGGGTTTTTTTTGTTTTTGTTTTTTTGTCTTTTTCCTTTTTATCGGTACCAGGGATCGAACTCACGACCGCCTGCTTGCAAGGCAGGCGCTTATGCCGCTGAGCTAAATCCCCAGCCCCACGAGTGTGGGTTTTGATCTCGTGGCCATTTTACTGGTGGGAATCCTAAATATCATACTTGGAGTCTTTCCCATGCAGTCCTTTCTGCAGAGAGGTAGTTTCTTCTGACTGAATCCAACAAAACTCACCACCCAGAATCTTGATTGTACTGATTCACCTCTTTCATCTTAGGTCTCCTTGTGTGTCAAAAATAAATTAAATGCCAGGCATAGTGGCACATGCTTATAATCTCAGCACTTGGGAGGCTGAGCCAAGAGAATCACAGTGATTTTGAGGCCATCCTGGGGGCTACAAAATGAGTTCAATGCCGGCCTGAATACATGGTGAGACTGTCACAAAAAGACCAAAATAAAAAAATAATGTGAATTCAGTCCTAGAGTAATTTGCTTAATCTCTCTGGCACTTTTCTTTTTGTAAAATGAAATGAAATAGTCTCAAAACATTCAGGCATATTTATTAAGCAGCTTACTAGTTCATGATAGGATAGCTTGGCAGAGTCATTCATTGCCAAAGAACCAGTCACTGAGCTCTAACCCCAGCACCGCAGGTAAGAAAAAGGCATGATATGGTATGTGACTTCTCAAAGGGAGGCTGGACACTGGGAGACAACAAAAGCAGTGCCTGTGAGACACTGGGTGAAAGCAAGTCCCAGGCTACGAGCCAATGCCTGGCCAACTATTCCGATGGAAGGGCGGAACAATGGCATTAGCAGCTCAGAGTTTATCTTCCCCATCTTCCTTCTTTTTTTTTTTTTTGGTCTTTTTCATTTTTATCGGTACCGGGGATCGAACTCACGACTGCCTGCTTGCAAGGCAGGTGCTTATGCCGTTGAGCTAAATCCCTAGCTCCCCCATCTTCCTTCTTAGGAAGCTTCTGGAGGCTACGGTTCATCAATGTGACAGAAGAAACCCAGAAAGGGAAAATCCCAGAAGCAGGGGTCGAATATCAGATGAGGCCAACAGAGATGCTAGTGCTGACTGCTGATCAATCCAGACTTAACAGGCCAAGGGTTTGCCAGAAGTATCTGCAAGCCAAAAATGCAAAGAACAAACTACCTGAGGGTTTGAACATGAGAAGGGATGCCTTTTTTATAGCAGAGTTTTGGGATAGATTAGTGATAGGTAAGTAGGAATATGAACAACTCTAAGAGGAAACAAGTCGTACATAAAACAAGACATACAGCAGTAATCTGCACAATACATGGCTCGACTGTGAATATTACATAAGAAAAGTAATAAAAATGCTGAAAACTGGTGTAACTCAAAACTGTTACCACTAATTGAGAGAAATCAGACAAATGTGCGTGATTGAGTGTGTATGTGCATAGGGATATAAAGAAGACTCAGTCACTAGATTTCACATTAGGAAGGCAATGGGTAATTTCTAAGACCAGCAAACAAAACAAGAGTAGAGATATTTTAGATCCATGGAGACAGATTCCAGAAAAAAGAGCTAAAGCACTGACAGCAGTTTCGTGTGTGCAAGGAGGCAGTGGTGGGTAGCAGATTCTGTTCTTGTTATAAATTTACATTAGATAAATGACTTCACTTTGAAAAATTGACACATAATTTGCACATGGTGCAATGTAATACGTGTAATTAAACACACACTTAAATGTTTTTGTCTGTCTCTTTTTTTGAAACTTTTTAAGCTGCTGAGGCTGGAACCAAGGCTTTGGGATGCCAAGCCCATGCTCTACTGCTGAGCCTGACCACCGCAGCCCTCACCCTTACATGAGCTTGGACTACTTGGCTTTTAAAACCATGTTTACAGGCAGCAGGCATGGTGGCTCACACCTATAATCAGAGCTGCTCAGGAAGCCAAGGCATGCTACGGATTGCAAGTGTAATGCCAGCCCAAACAGTTAAGTGAGACAGTTTCTCTAAAAATAGAAAGGGTGGGGATGGAGCCTGCTGGTAGAGCCCGCACCTAATGAAGCCCTGGGTTCCTCTCAGGTACCAAAAACAACAACATATAAAACTACGCTGACATGGTACTTTGGTTAAAATACAGTAAAGCTTTAAAAAACCCCACGGCACTCATCTGAAATGTTCTTTGGGACTTAGCTGGGAGGAGCTGAAGGAGCTCTCCCAGGATGGCCTGGCCAGTTCCTGCAGGAAGCCTCAGGCCACAAGAAGGCGCCTTTGTTTCAAGGGGCACCAGCCAGTTCATCCTCAGGGCTCAGCCAGGCACTCTGCCCAGCGTGTGGGCTGCAGTGCTTTAAAGAATGCTTTACCTTCTTCCATTTTCGCATTAGAAATGAGCATCTGTCTCAAATGCTTCAGGAGGCCAACCCAAGTAAAAGTGCTGTACGCCAGGGAATTCTCAGACATCTGAGGAATGTTGCGAACACCAAGCATCTTGAATTCAGGATGGGGAACTAAATTCTCCATTAAGTCTCCTGTAAAGAAGAAAGAAAAAGATCTGAATTAAAATGTTTTTATTCCATACTGTTGCCATTGGCCTGTACATAATCATGATTTCATGTTTTTTGATCAACTGTGCTTCATCCAAAGCCAGAACTGGTTAAAAATTCAAAATAATAAAATTTCAGAGATGATGTCTATCACAGACTACATCTTTGTCTTAGCACTCATTTTGTGCTCAGGGGTGGTAGTGGTGATGTAGCTCTGATGGAGCATTTGCCGTGCATATGCAAGGCCCTGGGTTTGATTCCTAACACTGGAGGAAAGACAGACAGACAGACAGACAGACAGACAGACAGACAGAAAAAGTGAGAAGAGATAAAAGGAGTGAGGAAAGGAAGGAAGGAAGAAGGAAGGGAGGAAGGGAAAAAGGGAAAGCTAAGCATTGTGGCACATGCCTGGAACCCTAGACTCCTAAGGCATAGGCTGAAAGACTGCACATCTGGGCAAGCCCAGGCCACTTAGGGACATAAAATATAAAAAAGGGTGGGGATAGTATGGTTCTTTTTTTCATTTTGTTTTTTTCAGACAGGGTCTCACTATATAGCCATTTCCCAAGTACTGGGATTATAGGTATGCACTGTCATGCCTGGCTAAAGGCTAGAGGCAGAGTTCAGAGCTCCTCGAGTTCAATCCCCAGTAGTGCTAAAAACAAAACAACTAAACTAAAACCACTCATCAAAATCAAAAGGAGAATTCAGAAACTGAGTCACTGACGATGTGAACAAACCATTAAATTGCAGGAAAATGAAGAAGGTATCAGGGCTAATATGCTTTTCCTGTCATTCTGTGTTTACTAACTATACCGAGAGAAAAACCTTTTCAATCTTTTACTTATGTAGTTATATGATATTCCTGCCTTCTGAATCCATCTGTTGCCTTCTTTCTGGCAAAATCCAGGCCTGGATTGGCCCTGCTACTCACATTCTCCCTCGGGGTACAATCTGGAGCACCCTGCTGGCAGGCTGGCTGCTCGATCCTCCACAGTACCTGCCTCTCACGGTCATGTCCCAGGCCCCACCACCTCTGTGAACTCCATATCCATTTGCTCTCCAACCAACCAACAACATGCACTGTTTGGGGCGCTAGGACAAGAGTAATACATAAACTAGACAAAAATTTTGGCCCTTAACTGGGTGTAGTGGTTCATGCCTATAATCCCAGCTTTGTAGATGGCAAAGTTAGGGGGACAGAGTGCCAGCTCAGCACGGGCGACTTAGTAAAACCCTGCCCCCAGTACTGGGAGGAGAAAAAATTCTAGTTCTAACCAGGTGTGGTGATACTTGTCTATAGTCCCAGGTACTCGGGAGGCTGAGGCAGGAGGATCACTCAGGGGCAGGAGTTCTAGGCCAGCCTGAGCAACACAACAAGACCCAGTAAGAGGTGGGGGAGAAGAGGAGGAGGAGAAGAAAGAGGAGGAGGAAGAAAAAGCTGGCCATAGTGGCATATGCCTGTAATCCCAGTACACAAGAGGCTGAGGCAGGAAGGTCATAAATTTGAGGCCAACTGGATTATGTAATAAGACCCTGTCGTTATTTATTATTTTTGGTACCGGGGTTTGAACTCACAACCTCCTGCTTGCCAGGCAGGTGCTTATGCCACTGAGCTAAATCCTCAGCCCCAACCCTGTCTTTAAAAACAACAACGAAAACTGGGAGAGGGGGGCTGGAGAGTTAGCCAGCGGCATAAGCGCCTGCTTTGCAAGTGCATAGTCATGAGTTCAATCCCCAGTACCAAAAAAAAAAAAAACTGGGACAGGCAAGCATTTGAGAAACAGATTAGAAATGAGGGTAAAGATTACAAAGTTAATTGCACTTAGATGATCTGAATTAATAAGGCACACTTAACAAAACGTGCTGAAGAATTGCAGAAATGTTTCAGAGGCTTTAAAAGGGAGCACAACTGGTCAGGAAATACAAAACAGAGTAGATACGAAGGAAGAACAAGAGAAACATAAGACCTAGAAAACAAAACAAAACAAACAAAAACCCATGAGATTTTCCTATAAAAAACAAACATGGAGAGACCAATACCTAGTGGATTTCTTCTGTAGTGAAATGAGCCTTCTGCAGAATAAGTAGGCTGGAACACGCTTCCCAGCTGATGTGCAAGGACTTGATTTATATCCCGAAAGGAGATCTGCTTGATATTCATCAGTTTTGCACAGATCTTATGGATAGTATCATTCTCATGAACAAGGAGGGCTTCTGAAGATCGGTACAAATGAGACAGCGTCAAAATGGAGTTGTAGTTCTGAACGATAACCTGGAGAAGGAAGGGCAGAAATCAGGCAGGAGAGACCAGTGGTTAGGGGCGTTTCTTCTAAGTTGGCCATCATGGCTGTAATTTAATCTTGGTTACTGGGGAGGCTCGAGAAAGATGATTCCAAATTTAAGTTCACTCTAGACAATTTGGAAAGATTCTGTTTCAAAATAAAATCTGAAAAAAGGCAGAGGATATAGCTCAGTGCTTGCCTATCATGCACAAGGTTCTGAGTTCTATCCCCACACCAAAATGAGAAAAAGAAAACTGGAGATTCTTAAGGCATCCTATCTAAGCTCGAACACTGGCTCTGTCACTTCCCAGCTGCATAACTTCTGGCAGATTATTTCATTGCTCCATGCCTCAGTTTCCTCATTTTTAAAGCAGGGATAATAATCGTATTAGCCTCCTAGAGTCTTAAGATTAGTGATATTAGAACAATGCCTTCCAGACAAACAGTGGCTATTACTACCATACTTTCTTCCTACATTATTTCCTATAACGACTTTCCTCACCTCTTTTTGTAAACATAAATATTTTTTCTGTGACACAGGGTCTCACTATGCAGTTCAGGCCGTCTTAGACTTTTGGCGACCCTCCTGCGGCCTTCTGAGTTGCTGGAATTATAGGCATGTGCTATCACACCCAGCCAATATTTTCTTTTTCTATTTTTTTCTTCCTTTCTTTCCTGTCTTCCTGTTTCTCTCTCCTCTTCCTCTCTCCCTCTTCTTCTTTTCTCTCTTTTCTTTTCCTTTCCTTTTGGTCTTTCTGGAGACAGGGTCTCACTATATAGTCCATACTGACCTTAAACTCATGGTGACCCTCCTGTCTCAGCCTCCTAAGTGCTAGAATTAGAGGCATGTGCTATCATGTTCTTTCCTTTCTTTTTTCTTCCTAGTATTGGGGATTGAACCAAGGCAGCACATCATCAGCCCTTTTCTTTCTTGAGACAAAGTTTTGCTAAATTATCCAGGGTGGCCTAAACCTTGTCCTCTTCCTGTCTCAGCCTCCCAAGCAGCTTGGATAAGAAGTATGTGCCACAATGCCATTTTGTCTTTAGAATTTTTAAAAACAGGATGAACACCTCATGTTTGGAAAAACTGAAGCAAAATTAATTATTCATGGAAGTATCATATTGTATGCAATATTTCCTTAAGACACAAGACACATTTCCAAAGAGAGGATCAAAGCCATCTTTATTCCCATTCATTTCAACTGGAAGGAAAACGACATCACTAATTAATATGTTAATATCTGGGTGGCGGGCGACCCAAGGAGAGAACCAGCCGGCCAGCGTCTCCTGAGATCCACGCCATGTTGCAACCTAGGGCACTGAGCAACAAAGGAACCTGCTTGCCTCCCTGGTAAGCAGCTGTGAGCCTACCAGCACACGGGCTGAGAATCAAACATCCTACTCAAGCCCTCCTTAGCAAAGGGGAGCCAGAGGTCTGAGCATCTCTTGGGAGGATGACCGTATGCAATATAGCAAGTATGGGGCATTTCCTCCTACCACCTCTTTGAAGGCAAATATTGTTATCACTTGTTGGGAGCCGCAGCCCCGAGCCCGGTCGCCTCACTTGGCGGACGTGAGGCCTGTAGTAAAGAGTAAAGCCTGAGGTAGATTACCCCTCCCATCGAGCACGTTAGTTTCCTGCTTACCGCGTAAGCAACCCGCTCAACAATATAGTCTGCCTGGCAACTGATGATGTTAGCCAATCAGCTTGCCTTGCTTACTTTAACATGATTGGACACTGTATCCGTATATATACTGGTGCCACCCCTGGGGGGGAAGAAGAAGCCCGGAAGTAGAAGCCTAGAAGGAGCCGCGGGGAGCGGACCAAAGGAGGCTTCGGCTGGGAGCGATCCCAGGGCAGGCTGTACGGAGAAGAAAAATAAAAGAAAAGGTTGTCCACTGCCAGACTTTGTCGTGTGTCCTTCCTGCCGGCCGGGAGCGGACATCGACAATCACTGATTTGCTTTGTTCTGATTAATTGTATTGCTCTATTCAATACTCCGTTTTGATAGGTTTTATAATGCTCTGTATTTGGTTTGGTTTTGCTCTGCCTGATTGACTGGACAAGTATTGTGACGATAACGAAATATACTGTGGTACCTATTACTGTTATCCTGGTAACCTGCTGTGAAATTCTGTACCAATTTCACTGCATTGTCTTGACTGGCTTTGTTCTGTCTTGTTCTGTTGTATTTTACTACCTTCAAAATAATAATAATAATAATAAAAATATGTTAATACCTCACCAGTTCCATAAGGCCAAATTATCTGATTCATTTTCAAGGCGTTTGAGTAGTGATCTTGTAGACGCTGTGTAAGGAAGGCTCCCAGCCCTGATCCTGTGCCCCCAGCTATGCTCATGATGATGAAAAAACCACTTAAAGAGTCACACTTCTCCACTTCCTTCTGGATTAGGCTCATTATAGATTCTTCATGCTTGGGTCCGTGAACAGAGTAACTATGTAGTGGTAAAAGAAACAAACACAAATACCATTCAGTTTAAAAGAGAGATGTGATGCAGAAGTGAAAGGTTAGAGATCTTTTCTAAAGTTAAGAGAGTGAATACTCATGAAAGGTACGGGTGCCCTCTCTGAAAAACTTTAAAATACACCAGTTAAATAAATGTAGCAGGTGAAAAGGACTGCTAGAAGAGTAAATTTACAGAATGCAGACAGTTCTTTTTTTATAGGCTATTCCTTTTTTATTTCCTTTTTTCAGTATGAGAGACTGAACCCAGAGCTCTCACACTGAGCTACATCCCCAGTGCTTTTTATTTTTTTACATTTTGAGACAGAGTCTTGTAAGGTGCTGAGTTGCCCAGGCTGGGCTCATACTTGCAATCTTCCTGGCTCAGCCTCCCAGAGTGCTGAGATTATAGGTGTGCAAGACCACACCTCATGTATCAGCCATTCCTTTGGCTGGGGCTTTCAAATCCAGGTATTTTTTACTCATTTACGGTAAAATATAATATTTGAGGGGCTGAGGATTTAGCTTAGCAGCATAAGCGGCTGCCTCGCAAGCATTAGGTTGTGATCCCCAGTACCAAAAGAAAAAAAGAGGGGCTGGGGATTTAGCTCAGCGGCATAAGCACCTGCCTTGTAAGCAGGCAGTTGTGAGTTTGATCCCTGGTACCAATAAAAAGGAAAAAGACAAAAAAAAATTTGATATTCATAACATAGTTTTAAAGTAGTACTTCCTAAACTGCTGCATATTAGAGTCCTAGGGGATCTTTGAAAAATCCTGACATTTGGGCTTCACCCCAAAACAACTAAATCAGAATCTCTGGAAATGATCCCTCTGCATCAGGATTTCCCAGAGAATGCCAGGAAATTCCAGAGTACAGCAAACTGCCTTGTAGTATTCCCAAGGACTAGAATACTGCCAGGTAAGGGTACTACATTAAAGGTAAGTTAATTTCCAGCACAACAATGAAGAATGGAAAATTCTGCTGCAGAATATTCGTGGCCTTATCATTATGCATTTTTTTCATTATGCATTTTAAGGCACAGAGATGGAATGAGTTTTTCTGGATAGATCAAATTCTAAAACTTTAAAACAGCAATTTCAAGATCATGTGTTCAGCCTATCAACTGTGCAGCTGTAACTACACTGTCTACTAATTGGCTATGCTGGTGCAATGAAACTGAAAATCATGAGGAATTATTCTTACCCATATGCCCAGTTGTTTCCAGAACCCTGTTTCTGACAGAAGCACGCATGCTGACCATACTTCCATCGCCCAGGCTGGGCAGCCTTTGACAGTATTTGATTGATAACTTTAGGTTCCATGTCAACAAGCACAGCCCGGGCAATTGGAACTAGAGAAGAAAAATACAATAAAAAAACCTTCATATGTCATATTTAGGTAACGTGGAGCATAAACTTTTAGAACACTAAGCTACAGTCCCAGCCCTTGGCTCACAAACAAAACAAAACAAAACAAAACAAAACAAAGCAAAACAAAACAAACAGTTGGGGAAAGATTGGTCATATTGGCTCAGAATGTGGCAGCTACAGAAGAAGATAGATGCTTGTAAAGTCCAGGATTCTTCTAAGCTCCCTGGACTAACCTGGTTAACTTCATTCAGTTCTAAAGACATCTTTGGGGTGCTTACCATATGCCATGTATTGTGCGGGGAACAGAGAGATGAAGGCAACCTCAAACCAGTCCTAGAACGATCAGTGACAGAAATAAAACATGATAACCCACATCTCAGTGTAGTGGCACACACTCGTAATCACAGCTATTTGGAATCGCTGAGGCAGGAGGATTACATGTTCAAGGCCAGCCTGGGAAACTTAGTGAGACCTTGCCTCAAAATTAAAAATAAAAAGGGGCTGGGAGGATAGCTCAATGGTAGAGTACTCCTGGCTTCAATCCAGTGCTGCCAAACATAAATAACAAAAACAAAGCCTATCAACACTTAATCATAGTGCAATATGAGGCCCATAACAAATCCACACCAAAGAAGGAGCCTACTCAGAGATGCACAGCTATCATGGGCACAACACACAATTCAAAATTATTAGAGAAGGAAAAAAAAAATTAGAGCAGAGGATGAAGAGGAGAGAGTACCAGGGATGGGAAACAGACAAGGCTCTAACTCTGGAAACCCTCATAGGTAATGCTAACGTGCTTGAATTTTACCTCTTAGGCAGTGATAAAGCACTGAACATATTCCAGCAGAAGAAAAGTTGGATATTCTTTTAGAGGGCAGATGAGATGCACATGAGATTCCAGGCAGGGAATCCCATGAATGTCTGGAAATAGTATGGGTGACAGAGTCAGATCTAAGGCAGTAACAGCAAAGGTGGAGAGGGCAGAACTGTCTGGTGAGATACACAGGGCTCAGAACAGGCAGACCTTGAGTGCAAGTTTTAAAGAAAAGATAATGGGAAGCCAGGTACACCCTGTAAACCCAGCACTTGGGAGGCTGAGGCAGGAGGATTGATGAGTTCAAGGCCAGGTGGTACTACATAGTGAGACCCTGTCTCAAAAATAAAACAAAAAACCTCTGAAAAACAAACAAATATAAATGAACACCTTGGGGATAGAGACAAGAATGTGAGCTAGAATGGGAGATAGAGGTGGCAAAGTTTACAAATCAGTCTGCACTTGAAGACTGTGCTAGAAATGAATCACTAATGTAAAAAGATGTAGCACATTGTGACTGAAATTGTCCAGAGGGAATTGTGCCTCAGCTGCTAAGAAAAGTTCAGAGCCTAAGAAGGTGTGAGTTTAACAGTTACTGTTATCAAACCCAGTAATAAAGCTAAGTGAAGGAAAGAAAATAATGGTAATCAAGAGGTTATTTGAAACATTTCTTAGAGTTACTTTAGTGACACTGGGGCAGAAGCGTGATTATAGCTGGTTAAACAGGGTACTTCTTTGGAAATCTTTGTTGAACAAGAAAAAATAGTAAGGAAGAAGATGGGCTGGGGTAAAGCTCAGTAGTTGATTACTTGCCTAGCATGCATGAGACCCTGGGTTCAATCCTCACTACTACCAAAAACAACAACAATAACAACAACAACAAAGCTGCAGTCAAGAGATAAGTCTTGATTGGTTGGTTTTATTTCTTCTTTTTATAGTGCTGAGACCCAAACTCACAGCCTCATGTATACTGGACATGCATTCTACGCTAAGCTACATCCCAGTCCATGTGATTGGTTGGTGAGCTCTAACCATGCTTAAGTGCTGGGAGGAAGATGCCCCTAGAAAAGCAAAGGTTGGTTGTTAACATAGAAACAAAGCACCAGGTGTAAAGTCATTCCCTATAGAGATAGGAAGGGATGGAGTTCAGACATTTTTGGAAGATCAGACCTTGAAGAGGTTTACATCAGAGTAGAGAGGCCTGTGGCCCACACATACCTCCGTTTTCCTCCCTGAAGAATCTTTCTCTGCAAGATGCTTGATATGCCTCATTCTCTCTCTTAGAGCAGAATCCCTGGGAACATTGTGAGTCCATAAATAAAGCATCAAACACTTCAAAGCCAATCTGGTTGCCACACTGACCAAGCTGCACTGTTACTATTGACATGCTGCTCCTTCAAAAAGTGAACAACCTTTAATAGAAAAAAAAATGTAGTCTTTGAGAAAGAGAACAAAAGATGCCATATATATTAATTATTACATCAGTAAAAAGTAACTTTAAAATGCCATGTATGTATGTAGTATTACTGATGAAACAGCTCTGTTGTTTAAGGAGCCAGTCATTTGAGGAAGTTCTTCTCTTGCTTTCCACAGTTCTGGGATCCTGGATTTGTTGTGTGAAAATCTATTCATATACAGCTCAACGGTTTTCAAAAAAAAATGATTTGTATTCACTATTTTCTTAAGTATGCATTTTAAAAGAAACAAAGCAAAACAGAACAAAATAAATGCTGAAGAAATTAGTACACAGATTCTGATTCATCAGAATCAGTTCAACAAACATTCAATTAACATTAATTTTCTCTGTTCAAAATAATGACATTGTCTTTCCACCGACCACTTTTCTGCCCTGATAAATGTAATTAAGACTTACAAAAAGATTTTGTGTTTAGTTCAGGTGATACAGCCACCATGGGACCTGGAGAAAGATCAATGAAACAGTAAGGCAGATCGTATTTTTAACAGCAAAGAGACATTTTTTATAAAGACCTCACATGAGGACCATGCAACACTCGATTGTGTTACTTTACTTAGTAAATCCGCAAAGTAGGCAATACTATCCTCATTTTATAGATAAGGAAACTAGGGTTCTGAAAGGTTATTTGATTTCCCAAGGCTAATAAGTAAGGCCAGCACTGTTCCTCGGCGGGAGCCGGCCCTCAGGGATACCTCATTAAACCCACTCACCTACAACACTCTGCTAAGGCGGTTTCGGTCGGATTCAAACTTAGAGAACCACCCTTCTTACTACGTGCATGCTCACTTTCAACACTAAAAAAAGCCACTGAGAACGAATGCGCATGTTCCTTTACTTGAAGTTTTCCTTTTTTTTTTTTTTTTTTTTAATTCGAAAGGTCAATTACGCATGTTCCAATTTATCAATTTCGGCTACCGGACGCATGCTGTGTCAATCAGACGCGCTCACAGACAACGCGCATGCTCTAATTTCAAGAGCGGCTTCCTCTGGTTTTATGCGCATGTCTCTGCCAGTATCCACCTCATGGAGCTAGTGCTACGCATGTCCATTGCCCACAGCTAGGCTTCACGGAACCCTGTACGCATGCTCCAATGCTGAACTTGAAGAGCCAGTCCAGGGCCTAGACGCAGACGCACTGAGTTCAAGCAGTCGGTGATGGCGGCAGCAGAGGCAGTGTCTGCGGCGGGTCCGGGCCCATGAGGCGACGACGGAGGCGGGACGGCTTTTACCCAGCGCCTGACTTCCGAGACAGGGAAGCTGAGGACATGGCTGGAGTGTTTGACATAGACCTGGACCAGCCAGAGGACGCAGGCTCTGAGGATGAGCTGGAGGAGGGGGTGAGGCCCGGGGTTCCCAGGGGGGTCCCGAGGTGACAGGGTCGGGGCGGCGGCAGGGGCCAGGAAGCCTGGCGCGTCCTAGAGCTCGGAGATCCTGGGGGCGCGAGTAAGTCTTGTGGAGGAGCTGAGATGACTTGCTGCTGAGAGCTCGGGAGCGGGCGGGGCGGACCTGGCCCTAGGTAGAGGCCTCTGCGGGGCTCGGAGGTGCGGGTTGCGCCCTTATCCCCAGGGCAGCGCAGCCGAGCCACCTGTTTGCGGAGACGAGGACGGGCTCGTGGTCGGTTTCTGAAGCTGTTTGACCTGAGGGTGGCGGGACACGGGTGGTGTGAGTGTGTGTTGAGAGTGGGGGAGGCTACGCTTGCTTGGTGTCCCGTAAGTGCAGGTGAAATGTGAGAGGGTATCCCTCGGATGGTAAGATTTCAAGTCTTAAATCTTCAGACCTCCCACAACCACTTCTCTTCTCGGCCTGTCGCTTCTCTCCTAGGAAGCGCTCAGCTGTTAGAAGTGACAGCTGAAAACTTCTGTCGGGAGTAGCACTGCCGCTGCTGTTACAGCCACCAGGAGTTTTATTTCGGGAGCAAGGGGGCTCTGCTGCATCTTCAGGGTTTGTTTGTTTGCCTTTTTTATTAAAAAAAAAAATCTTCCGTGTGACTTTTTTTAAAAAAATTATAACGACACACGGCATCTGTAACTTAATTTCCCCACATGTTGAAGATGTCTGTATTTTTTCAGAATAATTTATGTGACTTTGGGGTGGGGATAAAAAGCTAGTGTTGACAGCTGTGATTTGGCTTGCCAAAAATAAATTGCTTGAACTGAAACTTGTGAATAGTGGTGTGAGGGCTTTCCTTGCTGTATATTACGGTGCTAAGTTTAGAATTGTTTCTCCTAATGGCATTTTGGTTTTTTACCTTTGCTGTTTTACTAGTTTGTCGTTTTTTATGGAGTATAGTTTTCTAAGACAAATTTATTGCAAAATCACAAATTTTACCTGAAGTTCAAAGATGATGTTGTCAAACTTTGTGGACAAATGATCATCGATGATAACATCGTGGTAATTTAGGTCCTAATTTAGGTCACATTGTCTGATGACTATATGAATCCTATATCTGATGTCAGATGTTTACTGTAACTGCATAGTGTCTTTTACTCTTTTTTTTCCTCATCACCCACTTTTTCTTTTCTGGCAAATCATGTCCTGCTGCTGAAAAGAGATTGACAAGCTAGCTATGAACACTTTGTGAAACTGAGTTAAAATAATAGAGTTGTTTTCATAATCAAGTAAGTCTTAAAATCACAGTCTAGAAAGTGAATATTGAGATATGCACTTTTTAATCTATTTTCTAGTAGAATTCCAGTTAGCCTCTTAATTGAACATAGTGAACACTAAATACAATTTGAAATGAATGCAGGATTACTTTCCTTACGTGTTCTACACTCTGGTCAATTATTTGGTTCCATATGGCAGTGACTTTAGAATAGGGCAGGAGAAAAAACTGGATAGGAAGGATGCTTTATGTCTTCATTGGTTGAACTAATAGAATTCACAGACTACTGCCATATCTTCTAAGGAAAGTACAATATTGTATTAAGATGCCTATTGTAAACTAGGACCTCATTTTTCTTTTCAGTTTCTTAATACATTTCAAGAACAGTGCATGCTCCAGTTTTGGCCTACTCCTGTGCTTTTGTCTTGCTAGATGCAGCAAGTAGGATTCTGAAAGGGTGAGGAAGAGGGGACCAGAAAAAAATGGGAAAGAGAAAGAAGTATGATCATTGTTATTAGGGAGGGGAACTTTGAAGAAAGACCGGATGTGATTAAAAAGGATCTTGAGGAGAAGCTTTCAGTAAAGTATCTCTCACTTAGCAATGTTTTTGTAGTTGAAAATATTTTTTTGGTTTGTTTTTACACTACTGGGAATTGAATCCAGAGATTCTGTATCAGCTACATGCTCAGCTGTTTTTGTATCATTTCATGAAGTGGCCTTACTAAATTGTCCACATTGGCCTAGAACTTCTGTTCCTCCTGCTTCAGCCTCCCCAATAGCTGAGATAACAGGCATGAGCCATTATCTCCAGTGAAAATGTTTCTTTTCTTTATGTATTTTTGAGACCAGGTCTTGCTATATAGTTAAGGCTGGCCTGGAACTCTAGCCCAAGCTGACCCTGAACTTCTGCCCCCGTCTTCCACACAGGAACATGCCAACATACCCAGCTCAAGTATCATTCTTAAGAGGTATCTCAAGGCGGATAAGATTGGACTGGCAACCCAAGGAGAGAGAGTGACATCCAGATTATTCTAAAATACTAAAATTCTTAGTAAAAGTCGAGAATATGGGAGGTTTAGATTCTTTGAAAATCTGCTAATGTTTCCTGTTGTGAATTTATAACTTGTTATGAAAACTTTCTTAACATTGATTCATATACATAGTAGCTTCACTTCACTTTATGGTAAGGAAGCTGAGGCATAGTTCAGATGATTGTCTACAATCATAGTTTTAGAATTTTCTGATTGAAAACTAACATTTTATTGCAGATTCTTTTGTTTTGGTTTTGGTTTTTTTTTTTAATCTGTACCAGGATCGATCTCACGACCACCTGCTTGCAAGGCAGGTGTGTATGCCGCTGAGCTAAATCCCCAGCCCCTGGTTTTGGTTTTTTGATACAAGGTCTCACTATGCAGTTCAGGCTGGCATTGAACTCACTATGTAGCCTTTGACTGAACTCCTGGTGATCTTCCTGCCTCAGCTTACCCCTATTCTCTCCCCCCATTGCTGGGATCACAGGTATGCGCCACCATGCCTGGCTTTGTTGCACAGATTCTTGATTGTATTTATTAGTCTTGCTGATTTTGTACCTTGTTTCTTTGTAGTATGTGAAAAGTAAGTTCCCATCCCTTTGGCATATTCACTGACTGACATAGAATACATTGCTTAATCTCTGACAGTTTTTTCTTTTCTACACAAAATAAAGCACATAAAGTATTTTAACAATATACTGGCCTATCTGCTAGTTTGTGGCAATGCAGTCTGTCAGTGTTACTCATTGCCAAGGATCCAGTCATTCAAGTTTACACTTTGTGTCTAGAGACTTAGTGCTAAAAGCATTTAAATTAGAGATACTGCATTATTAGAACTAGAGCAGCATTTTTAAAATCATTGATCCTATTTAAAGATATATATGTGTTTTAGTTATGTTATACTCAGTGAATATTATTGTATGAATTTACATGCTTAGTTAATTCTTTTTTGTTATTATTTTTTGTTATTACTATTTGTGTGTGTGTGTGTGTTTGTGTGTGTGTGGTACCAGGGATGGAATTTGTGACCTTGTGCTTGCAGGTGGGCACTATGCCACTGAGCTATATCCCTGGCCTGTTTGTTTGTTTTCAAGACAGGGTCTTACTGTGTAGTGTAGACTGGCTTCAAACTTGAGGCAGTCCTCCTGTCTCAGCCTCCCAAGTGCTGGGATTACAGGTGCACCACCATGCCTGGCTAGCTTAGTTAGTCCTTCAGAGGATAAATGATGAGACTGAATTGATACATTTATGAATAAAGTTGAATGTATGCCACCTAATTAAAAATAAAAGAGCCAGGATTCATTACTTTAGAGGGATAGAATAGTATATATTAAAACCAATGGGTAAGACAATTTCAATGGGAGGCCTTTTTTTGTTTCCATTTCCTAGGTGATGGTATCATTTGAGGAAGTGAGTTAAAACTAAGCAAACTTTTCCTTCAGAGAATTGTATTAGATTGTGAAAAATGTCAGATACTTCACTGCTTTTGGCATCATTAAAAGAATAATAGAAACCAGGCATAGAATGCCCCTGCAGATCCCCTGAATCTCAACTGGAGAGAATGCAGCAGGAAGATTTTTGAGTTCGAGGCCAACCTGGGCAGTGTATAAATTCAAGGCAAAAGTGGACAACATAGCAAGGCCCTGTTTCCACACAAACAAGAGAACTAAAAAACTGTAATGCAATCAGGAAAAAAATTTTTTGGCAGTGCTAAGGATTGAGCCCAGTGTAGTTAGCAAAGCACTTCCCCCAGGCTATACCCCTGTATGTCCTTTCTATTCTGATTCAGTTTTTGAAATAATCAGAGGCATACTGTATACATTTCAGATTGGAAAGTTAGGGTTTTGTTTTAAGAACTGGGCTAAATCTCCAGCCCTTTTATTTTTGAGACAGGGTCTCCATAAGTAGTTAAGTTGCCCAGACTGAGGCAACTTACTTGTAACTGTCCTGCCACAACTTCATAGTGTGCTGACATCATAAGTTCCCTGGCTGTAGATCAGATTTTATTTTTCTCACACCCCCACCCCCTGCGCCTCTTTGATACTGAAGAGTGAGCCCAGGACCTTTGCACTGAGCTATACGTACCTCCCAGGTCTTTAGTTTTTCATTTTTTTAGTTTAGGGTTGTTTTGTTTTTTGAGACAGGGTCTTGCTGTATAGTTCAGGCTGGCCTTAAACTCACTGTGTAGCCTAGGTTGGCCCCAAATTTGTGATTACCCTCCTGCCTTGGCCAGGAGGCCAAGTGCTGAGGTTACAGGCATGTGCTACCATGCCTGGCTGTTTTTTGATTTTGGAACTCCACTTGCACAGGCTGGGTTCAAACTTGTGATTTTGTGATCATCTTGTCGCAGCTTGTCAGTGCAAGGATTATAGGTATGTGCTACTACCACTCGCAGTTTACATGTCAGATTTTTTTTTCTTTTCTTTTTTTCTTTTTCTTTTTTTTGTATTGGGGGGGATTGAACTCATGACCTCACACTTGCCTGGCAGGCACTTATGCTGCTGAGCTAAATCTCCAGCTTTTTCTTTTCTTTTTTTGGTTTTTTGAAATAGGGTCTTACTATGTAGTTCAGGCCTAGCTTGAACTTACTTTTGTAGCTGAAGTTGGCCTCAAACTAACAAGGATTTTCCTGCTTTAGCCTCCTGAGTGATGAGATTAACAAAAGTCACCACACTGGCAGAATGTCATTTGTTTTTCTTTTTAATTGATACTGGGAAGCAGTCAGAACCTTGTACTTGCCAGGCAGGCACTGTGCTGCTGAGCTGTATCGCTAGCCTGAATTTCAGATTTTTATTAAGCAAAAAGTTTAATAGTACTGAAGAGCTAAGTACTGTATAGATAGTTTGTGTTCAAGGCTTCTTAGTTATGAAAATTTATAGAAAAACATTATTAATTATTATCATGAAGCACCAACTATTTTTAAATGGCTTAAGATTTAGAGCAAAGTTTTACACATTTCTCCCAACTCATCTGAATTACTGAATCTTATATTTGTGAAAGCCAGGCCAATGGATAGTTTACTTTTTTTTACCCAAACCTTTTGTCATTTTTGTTTGTTTGTTTTGTTTGTTTCACAGTGTTACTGGGAGTCAAACCCAGGAGCTTGCCCTGTGCTAGGCAAGCTCTGCCACAAAGCTATATTCCCCATATTGGATAACTGATTTAATGACTATTTGGATTGAGGATAATTTCACCCATTGTGGAGTAATTTTATAAATCTACTGTCTTTCAATGGGACTTTATGCATGTTAATTTGAATTTATGTAACATTTTTAGTTTAAAACTTTGCAAATAGTTATTCTGGTAGGCTGGTTAGAAACAGTATATCTTGTATGGTATTTTCCATGAGCAGGATTCCATTTTGTCAGTCATAGTGGCACACACAAAAAGCATGGGAGGCATCATAAATCTTAGGGCAGCAGAATAATTTTGAGTAGCTGCCTGTGAAAGAATGTTGTCAGTATGTATTGTATAACATTAGCTTGATTCTTCTGGTGTGAGACTTGTAAAATTAACTGTGAATAGCAAAAATGAATTGTACCTCAAAGGCCTCTGCTTTAGAAGGTAACTAACGGATAGGAAGTTAAAAGCACAGATGTAGGTGGCGTTACAGGCCTGGCCAGTTCCGGAAATGAAACAGCCGCAGGGCATATCTTGTGAGGTGGCTTCAAAGTCATGGTTCCGTGTTAACTAACTACTTTGTGATCTTTAATTTAGAGTTAAGTAAAATCAACATAAAGAAAAATTATTGTTAACTACTCGGTGATTTTTAATTTAAAATTAAATGAAATTAGCATAAAGAAAAAATTTATGTGAACCAGCATTTAAAAGAGGTTAGTCTTTGATCCTCTCCTCCCTCCTTTTTTTTTTTTAATACTGGGGATTGCACTCAGGACTTTTGCACTGAACTACATTCCCAGCCCTTGAAAACTTTAAAATTTTGAGACAGAATCTCACTAAGTTTTGCAGCCTTAGTGACTATCCTGCTTCATCCCAGTGTGAGTTACTATGTCCTATAGGTCTTTTGTCTTTAAAGCTATCATAGGTAATTGTATGTAGCAACAGATGCCAAAGGAGCTAACCATAACCATCTCCTCTTCCTCACAAAAACCTTACCAGTTTAACATGAGAATTACTTTTCTTTCTGTTTTTTTTTTTTTTTTTTCTTTTTTCTTTTTTGGTACCAGGGATTGAATTTACAACCTGGTGCTTGTCAGGCAGGCTCTTATGTTGCAGAGCTAAATTCCCAGCCCTTCTTCCCTTTTCATAGTACCCCATCCATCCCATCCATTTGCCTCATGAAACATACATCCTGTTGTTCATCCTGACTTGTCCATACTATGAGCAAATTATCAGTAAAATTTTGTGGAATCTCATGGTTTTTTTTTTTTTTGGTACCCGAGATTAAACTCATGACCTAATGTTTGGCAGGCAGGCACTCATGCTGCTGAGCTAAATCGCCGGCCTGTGTGCTGGTACTTTTAGGAAAGATGGAAAGATGTGCCTGAATATGGTCACTTACCTACAGGAATAACACAATGAGTTCGAGGTCTGTTGGGATACAAATCAGGACCCTGTCTCAATAGAAAAAAAAGAAGAAGAAGAAAGAAAGAAAGGCAGTATTCATCTCTCAATGCGCCCCCCCCCCCCCCCCGTTGATACTAGAGATTGAGCTAGGGCCCTCACACTGAGTTACTACCCCCTTCATTCCTTTTTTGGGTGGGGGAGGAGGTACAGAATTTTGCCAAAGTTCTAAATAACCCCGACTGGTCTGGAATTTGAGATCTTCCTGACTCAGCATCCCAGGGTACTGGGATTTATAGTCATGTGCCACCAGGCCTCTCCCTAAGTCTTTAATTCAAGAATTTTTACATTGACTGCTTGAATACTTGTAATATTTTCTTTTTTTCTTTTTTTTTTTTTTTTGTGTGTCTTTTTCCTTTTTAAGTAGGGTTTTTTTTTTTTTGTCTTTTTCGTTTTTATCAGTATCAGGGATCGAACTCATGACTGTCCCCTTACAAGGCAAGCGTTTATGCTGCTGAGCTAAATCCCCAGCCCATCTTTTCCCTTTTTTATCGGTACCAGGGATCGAACTCATGACTGCCTGCTTGCAAGGCAGGTGTTTATGCCTCTGAGCTAAATCTCCAGCCCCTACTTGTAATATTTTCAATCCTGTTCTTAATCGAGTGATACTCTTTTGTGTGAAGTGAATTTTAATCAGACTGTACTCAATAATACTCATTTTAAAACTATTTTATATCAATAATCATTTCTTTTATAAAGTTTTTTTTGTCTTTTTTTTCTAAACTATTTTTATTTATACTATTGTAAGCTGAGTTGTTATTTTTTTTTTTTAAAGACAATCTCCCATTGTTATCTAGATTGGCCATGAACTCATTATGTAGCCCAGGCTCACTGAACTGTAGGCAACCCTCCTTCCTACCTCAGCCTCCCAAATGCTGGGATCACAGGCGTGCACATATTGCCTGGTTGGAGTTGTTACTTGTATTCATTGCTAGTGTATATAGAAGGCTAATTAATTTTTCACTCATTTGTTCTTTAGTCATAAATATTTGGGAGCATGACTTCTGTTTGAGTGTGCTTAATTGTTTTCTTTTAAATAGCTGCATTGTATAATAAATAACTATCTTGAATTGGTTGTGGTTACCTTAGATTTAGGTCATAACATTTTATTAGTCTACCTAACAGGATTATTATCAGAATAGCCCTTTATAACTCAGTTTATTTAATAACTCATACTGAGATGCCTTTTGTTTCATAATACATAAATTTTAATAGATAAATGTAAGCTTTGAAGGAATAGTCACTTTTTTTTTTTTTAAGACAGAGTCTCACTATGTGGTTTAAGCTGGGTTTGAACTCACCGTATAACCCAGACTCACCTTGAACTCCTAGGAGGCAGTCCTCCTCCCTCAATTTTCTGAGTGCTGGACTATAGGCATGTACTCCCAAGCCTGCACTGAAGGAATAGTCACTTAATTGTGTTTTACATCATGAATGGGTAATATCTGTAGTGAAATGCCGCATGAAATTAAATGTAAAAAAGAGGAAATCAAATTCTTATAACGTTGTTAAGCACTTTATTTTGTTTACCACCGTATTTGCCTGTTTATTAAAATACAGAGAATTTTTTGAGTTGTTTATCTTTCATGTATGAGACAGAACTTTAAACTTGTAAGTTTTATGTTTATGAGAGTATTTATTTCTAAAATTTTAACATATTTTTCAGGGTCAGATAAATGAAAGCATGGACCATGGAGGAGTTGGACCATATGAACTGTAAGTTTATACGTGAATATTTTCATTGTGGTTTTCTTTTAAGTAGATTATGCTAGTTGCAGTTCATACCCATCAAGTGATTCTAATAACATGCTCTTAAATACCTAGTCATCTTTACAGACTTGTTTTATTGAATTTGGCTCTAAAATCTGATCAATGTAATAATACATCCAGAGTTTTGATACAGTGTACAGATTTGGAGAAAACAATACTTATTTGTATTCAGAATATAAGTCTGAGTTCCTTAGGGTTTTTAATATAGAGAATTCTATATCTAACCATTTTTAACTTTGAAAGAATTCCCCGACATCATTCAGAGACTTGTGCAGTCTTGTTTTGTGTATATTTGTTTTGAGACAGGGTCTCACTGTATAGTTCAGACTGGTCACTGTGTAGCCCAGAATGGCCTTGAACTTGTGATGATCTTTTTGCTTTAGCCTCCCAAGTGCTGGAATCACAGGCATGTGCCACAACATTCAGCTTCAGATTTGTGTAGTCAAATCAATCATTTTAAACAGTTTCCGTTAGGTGAATTTGGTGATTACTCTGCTCCCTGCCCTAAAAAGCTTTGCTATGGGAGGAAGAAGATACATCACTCATACAGGAAGCATTTAAAGGACAGTTGTCGTCCATTTTGAAGGCTTTAAATGAGAACAATAATACAGGGAGCTAGGCAAGGGAAAATGCATGGATAGAATTTATGAGCAAGAGTTTTTGTAGCTCATAGTTGTACTAACTAATTGGTAATTTTTAAAAGATTTGAGATTGTCAAATTGCCAAATGATGTTAGATAATACCTAATCTTACGAACATCTTGAATGAACTAAATTTGAATAACTAGAAGACTTTCCTTTTCAACTTAATAAACTTGTTCTAATTTACTTCATTTTGGAGATATCTGTTGCTTATGAAAATAATCGATAGAACACTTTGTGAACAAGCAAATAAACATTTATCATCCCCTTGCTTTGGTTGTGAATTATCACTTCACTTATAACACAAATACTAAATTTGCTGTCATGTACTTTTTTCCTTTTACTTAATTGGATTCCATTTCTATTTCTCCTTTCTAACAATATGCTAAAGATAATTTTAACTTTTTTGCAAATTTACTTTTGGTTTTGCTTTTCTTCCCAGTGGCATGGAACATTGTGAGAAATTTGAAATCTCAGAAACTAGTGTGAACAGAGGGCCAGAAAAAATCAGACCAGAATGTTTTGAGCTACTTCGGGTACTTGGTAAAGGGGGCTATGGAAAGGTAGGAAGTATTTCTGAAATGAGAGTTATTGTGTGTCTTGGGTAGATTGATTTTTATAACCTTCCTACAACAGTCCGACTCTATTAGCCATCAGTAAAAAATATGATGGCAACTCAGTGTGATTTGAGGGATTAAGAAATTGAGTTTTTCTTCCTCTTCCTGTCACCACACATGTTAAAATCTGTCACATAATCAGTACTCATTCAGTATTTCTTAAATAAGCAATTATGTAAGACGAAGTCTGATATTAAAGGATTGATTCCTTCCTTTGGTTAAATGGTGTCTTGTACAGGTATCCTCTTTAAATATAAACAGACCACTCCTTACTTTCAAGAGACATGTACATTAAATTATCTGTTCCTGAGCTCTTAATCTGAATTGGTACTCTTTGACATGCAATGTCTAGAGAAAGAGAGTTAGGGAAGAAAAAATAAGAGAAGAAAAACGAAAATGTATTTTCATAGTTTTACCCAAAGCTTACTAATTAATGCCTTACCTTTATGATCTTGTACCCAAGAAAACTTACATTTAGCCATTCTGTTTCAAGAGACAGAATTTGGATAACTTCTTTAGAATTAAATTTAAAAACTACTTATGGTAGTGAATACTGTTAATTTTTGTGAAGTGTGGTATTTGCATTTTATTCTTACCTAAGGACACATTGTAAAGTGTTTTAATCATTCTGAATGTGCATACAAGCATTTTGAATTTGTATTTTAGCTGTTGCATGAAAATTTAGAACTAACCATTTTAGTGGAATGGGTAAATAATGATTTCCTGTCAACTATCAATAAAAGGTTTTGTGTGAAGTAAGAATAGCAGCACCCCTGAAATAAATTCTAAACTATTTTAGAATTTTTAAGTTCATGACTGTGCTGCTTGGAACCATGGCTATAGTTCACTCTAACAAGAATTTTACATATAAAAGTACTGCAGTGTGCTCATTAGATGGTCATTTTCCAACCTTGCCACCAGATGGCAACAAATGAAAAGTCCCATATTTAACAGATTTCACTACTGTGAATCTTAAAATGCGGTCTGCTGTTTTAGCTGATCATTTTTGCACCCATTCCTTTGTGGTGTTAGTTTTTACAATATGAACTACTATATTATTTGTTTCTGATAAAAAGGAATTACAGGAATATGACCTACATAATTTGGCTTTTAATAATAAACTCACTTCTTTATCCAGGTTTTTCAAGTGCGAAAAGTAACAGGAGCAAATACTGGGAAAATATTTGCCATGAAGGTGCTTAAAAAGGTAATTCCTCCCTTCCCCCTTGTTCTTTCCTTCCCCCACTTTCCCCCGCTGTGCTGGGGATTGAATTTAGGGCCTTGCAAATGCTGGCAAGTACTATGCTGCTGAGTTTATCCCTAACCCTACCATATAATTATATAACCCTACTTATCTTTATTAGTGATATAAAATGTTGGCTTAGCTGGGCATAGTGTTGCATGCCTATACTCATATTCATGTGGGAGGCTGAAGCAGAAGGATTATAAACTGAAGTCCAGCCTGGGTAACATAGCAAGACCCTGTCTCAAAATTTAAAAAAAAAAAAAAAAATTGGTGGTGGGGGCACTAAAATTCACAGTTCCAAAAGTGTGTTTCTGGAGTTTGGGTTTTAACACAGTGGTAGAACATGTGCTTTGCACGCAGAAAGCCCTGGATTCAATCCCTAGCACCAAAAATAAAATATTTCTAGCATAATGATTGTGTTAGAATGTGGGGTATATTTCATTATTTTTATTACTGTTATATTTCTGCTGAATGAGTGTAAAAAGGAGAACACTTTCAATTTTTTCTGAAGTAACTCTTCCAGTTGGTTTTAGACTTGCCTGTCATGATAAAGAATTTTAATTTTGTGGTAATGACGATTGAACCCAGGGATTTGCACATGCTAGGCAAGTGCTCTAACACTGAACTATATCCTCAGCCCCATAGTTAAGGATTGAAATATTAAACCTCTGCGCTGAGATGCATGCCCAGCCCTTTTTAAATTTTTTATTTTTATTCACCATTGTCCCACTCATTCATTCTTTTGTAGTAATGAAGAATGAGCCCAGGCCCACACTTAGCTATGTCCCCAGCCCTTCTTTTTTTTATTATTTTTAAGCAGAATCTCACCAAGTTGTCAAGACTGGGTTTGAATTTGTGATCTGTCTGCCTCAGCCTTCCAGAGTGTAGGATTATAAGTGTGTGCTAGTTCCTTTTTCTTAGTTTAAGGCTGGGGATTTAGCTCAGCGGCACAGACATCTGCTTGGCAAGTACAAGGTTGTGAATTCGATCCAGGTGCCAAAAAAACAAAACAAAACAAAAAAAAACACATTTGACTGCTGTCCCTTTTTCTTAGTTTATCTTCTATTCTCTTGTTTTGGTGATTATCTCTTAGTAGTTCCTTGAAAAAGGATACTTGAAGGTAAATTTTTGTGAAATGTAATGTTTGCAATTTATTCTTATATTTAAGGAGTCATTGTTGTATATTTGAATATATCTTTATAACAGCTTCATACTTGCTTAATTGGGAATTTTGCACATGCAGTGCTGACAATCATTTTGACAAGTACTCTACCCTCAACCTCTGGTTAGAGTGTTGATGTTGAAAATCACTTTTACTCAGATTTGCTTCATTTTTCTCTTATTTTTATTATTTATTTATTTATTTATTTATTTTTATTTATTTTGGTTGAGACAGGATCCTGCTATGTAGTTCAGGCTGGCCTTGATCTCACTATGTAACTCCAACCTGGGCTTGACCTTTCTGCCTGGGCCTCTCAAGTGCTGGGATTCTAGGCGTGTACCTTCATGCCTGGCCTTCCATTTTCTTCTATATTTAGGGTTTTGTTGAGAAGTCTCTTGCCATTCTGACTCCAAGTCTTTCATTTATGGCTTATTTTTCTCAAAAGTATTTGAGATTTGCTTTTCTGTTTTAAAATTTGTTAGTGATATATCTTGCTTTGACTTTTATTTTTATTCATTTGAATCTCAAATTTGCAGGCCTTCAGCTCTAGGAAATTTTATTATATGATTTATTTGTTATCATTTTTTTCTTTGTGGAATTGCAGTTAGTGAGATGTTGAACCTCCTGTACTGATCATTTAATTTTTCTTATCTTTTTCCATTTGCCCATTTCTTTGTCATTTTGTTTACTTTCTTTTCTTAATTTATTGTTGTTTATTAGTTATTTTGTTACTCATTTTTGTGGGAGATTTTTGTTTTTTTATTTTATTTTTTTTCTTTTTCTTTTTAAGACAGGGTCTTGCTATGCAATTCAGGTTTGTCTTGAGCTTACTTTGTAGCCCTGACTAGTCTTGAACTTAACAACGATCCTCCTGCCTCAGTCTCCCAGCTGCTGGTATCATAGGCACGCACCATCACTTCAGCTGTGCTTTTGAGGTTTCTTTGAGACATGGTGTCACTATGTAGCCAAGGCTGGTCTTAAGCTGTCCATTTTCCTGCTTCAGCCTCCTGAAGCTGGAATTAACAGATATATATTATTGCATCTGATTTACTGATTGTTTTAGTGACTTTATTTTCTAAGATTTTTAACCTCTAATTATTAGCACATAATTAATATACAAATTTGTTTTCACTGTGATTTATGTCCATGCAGATAATGTACTAAATTTGTTTTTAAATTATACGTAAGAATATAAGAATAGTATTGTTAGTAGGGAGCCATGTAAGGTTTCAGTGTGTACACACTTAAGTATTTAAATCATTTATGCTGCCATGCATGGTGGCATATACCTGTGATGCCATCTCTTGGGAGACTGTAGCTGGAGGATCACTGCAAGTTCGAGACCAGCCTGGACTATACAGTGAATTCAAGGCCAGCCTGAAAAACAGAGATTGTCTCAAAAAAAAAAAAAAAAAAAAAAAAAAATCAAGGTAAACATTTGCCCTAACATTTGTCATCCCTTTATGGTGAACCCTTTTTTTTTTTTTTTTTTTTTTTTTTCCCCGTCTTTTTGAGAAAGGTTTTGCTATGCAATTCAGGCCGGCCTTGAACTCACTTTGTAGTTTTGTAGCCCAGGCTGGCCTTGAACTTGCAGTGATCCTCTTGAGTTCTGGGATTACAGACATGGGTCACTGTCTCTGCCTGACAGAAACTTCTAAAATTATGTTTTTTCTAGGCTTTCTTTCTTTTTTTTTTCCTTTTTCATGATGGGTCTCATTGCATTGTTCAGTCTGGTCAAATAATGTTCCTGGAATTACTGTTGTGTGCTACCATGCCCAGTCTTCTAATTTGTTTAGAGATCTGTGGTTACCCACCACCCAGAACTTTTTCCAGTAACCGTAATTGAGTACCCAGTGATCGACCTTTCCCTATCAGTCCTGCCCTGTTCTTCTGATCTCTGGTAATTGCCATTCTACTATAAACTTCTATGAGAATAACCTTTTACTGCCTTTTTTCAAAGCCTCTGTGTTTTTGATTACCTAGAATTGTCTGATGGTTTGCTTTATAGCAACCTGTTATATAAGTACATTATCATACTCTCATCCCTCTGAGGGTTTTGTTTGGCTTAGAGGTGTTGGGGACAAAAACAGGGCCTCATATTCTAGGCAAGTGCTGTACCATTGAGCTGTACCCCTAACACCCTCTGAGGATGTTAATTAGAATTCTTTGAAGTTTTCTGTTATTCCATGCATTGCAGACCTTTGCTAAATGTCTCCTGTTGTTCACTGATCGTTCATATTTAAGGGTGGAATTGGAGAAGCTGATGAGAAGCCTTGTGTATAAGCATCCATACGTAGTCAAAGGTTACCTGGCGTCTGACCAAGAACCTTAAGTAATAGTGTATGTTGGTCTTTTTTCTGAGTTGCATCAGTTCATGCTGAGAAAAATCCTCTAGTCTTTTTTTGTGGAAAAAGCATTCTGGAGCTGAGTGGGAAAAAAAGGAGGGATAGAGACATATCATCTCTTAACTTGTAGACTTTTGTTGAAGTCCAAGGTTTTACTTTAGCACCTCACCCTGTATCCTGTGCCGTACTCTCTTTTCTGGAGAACCCATTTTTTTTTTTTTTTATAATGTATGCAATGACAGAGCCTTACACACACTAGACAAATAGTAGAGCTATAGAGCTACATCCCTAGCACCCTACTCTGTCTCCTGTCTTCATCTTTTGAGTTGGGGATGAGGAGGTTCCATGCATCTCCTAGTTTAGCTGAAGATGTATTAATTATGTTGTTTCTTGTTCTTTTTGTTTGGTACTGATTTCTAAAGTTTGTTGTCATAAATAAAAGTCCTGCTAAACAACTACTTTAAAAGACAATCATTGAGCTTGGGGTGTAGTTTCAAGGTAAAGTATATGTTTGGCATGCTTAAGGCTCTAGTTTCAAAAACCAGATACAAACAAAACAAGACAAAATGACTTTTTAAAAAAAATTATAGGATTGTGACCAGGTGTGGTGGCACATGCGTGTAATCCTAGCACTTTGGGAGGCAGTTGCAGGAGGATTGCTGCTGGTTTGAGGCCAGCCTGGGCTACAAAGTGAGCTCAAGGCCAGTCTAAACTACATGAGACCCTGTCTCAAAAACACCCCCTGTAAAAGGATTTCTATTACTTTAGTCTTTTCCTTCTTCCTGATTTTCATTGAAGTAAACAAATGACTCAAAAGCCCAGGAACAAAAACTGTGACTACAGCTTTATTAGTGTGGTTTAAAGAAGCCTTCTAGATATTTTCAGCATTAATTTCTGCTTCACTAAGATGTGATTAACATTGGTTCACTATACTATTTCATACTGGAATCATATGAATTTAGTGAATATTGGTTTGGTGGAGGGTGGTTTTGTTTTGTTTTTTCTTTGTTTTATTTTTTTGTTTTTGGTAAAATATGTTAGACTCAGCCATGCTGGTGGCCCAGCAGTCTGAGAGGCTAAAGCAGGAGTATCATAATTTTGAGTCTAGCCGGGGTATCGAAAGACCCTGTCTCAAAATTTAAAAAAATTTAATATGGCTAGAGATGTAGCTCAGTGTGAAGGCCCTGTGTTTGATCTCCTAAACCACGATAGATACAGGTAGGGAGATAGGTAGGTAGGTAGATTAATTGATTGATACAGATAGATAGATGATAGAGAATTAGAGTCAGTTTAATAATGTCTGTTTCAGAAACACTGAGCAAAACAACTGGTCGATATTCTAAATTTGTTCATTTTGTTATTTATTTATATCTGATAATCAGGGTTGTCCATATTAATCATAATATTAGTCTTTTACCTTGAGTGAAGTATGTTCTAGCACAAGTATCTTTCTT